AGCCTGGCACAAGCGTCGTGGTGACGTCACCGCCACTTAGTGGTGAATGGCGGTTGTTGTTGTTGTATCTGTGTGTGTGTAGCTGTGTATACCTGTGTGTGTGTATGTAGCTGTGTGTGTGTACCTGTGTGTGTGTGTACCTGCGTAGCTGTGTGTACCTGTGTATGCAGCTGTGTGTAAGTAGCTGTGTGTGTACCTGTGTGTGTACCTGCGTAGCTGTGTGTACCTGTTTATGTAGCTGTGTGTACGCGTAGCTGTGTGTACCTTAACGTGTGTACCTGCGTGTGTGTACCTGTGTGTGTGTGTGTACCTGCGTAGCTGTGTGTACCTGTGTATGCAGCTGTGTGTAAGTAGCCGTGTGTGTACCTGTGTGTGTGTACCTGCGTAGCTGTGTGTACCTGTTTATGTAGCTGTGTGTACGCGTAGTTGTGTGTACATGTGTGTGTGTGTGTAGCTGTGTGTACCTGTCTGTGTGTAGCTGTGTGTACCTGTCTGTGTGTAGCTGTGTGTACCTATACGTGTGTAGCTGTGTGTACCTGTGTGTGTGTACCTGCGTAGCTGTGTGTACCTGTCTATGTAGCTGTGTGTGTACGAATAGCTGTGTGTGTGTACGTGTAGCTGTGTGTACCTGTGTGCGTGTAGCTGTGTGTACCTGTGAACCTGTGGGCTTTATGTACCTGCGTCCCACGATGTTTTCCCAGGAACTCACAGAAATGCTCAGCAAATCTGCAAACCTGTTCCTGGGTGTCAGAGATTGGATCACTGCTCTTTCCTTTAATGATGGTGATCGGTGTGGCGCTGCAAGTTACTTTTTTGATGGAATTAAAGAGCGATTTGTGATCGTGGGCCATTGAGGCAGACTCCATCTCCTCAGAAACCCACGACCACAACCCATCCTACCAGCGCCTCACGGCTCTTCGAACCTCTGAGCAAAGGCTGCGGTAAGCCTCATTCTCTGACGTGGGATGCTGTAGACGATTAGAGTGGGCCTGTCGCTTTTTCTCAGCCAGCCTGAACACCTCCTCTGTCAGCCAGAGTCTCTGGGGAGGTCTGGACCGTGTACCCAAAGCAGCCATTGCAGCTGCATGAGTCACAGTCCTAAACCTCGCCCATTTCCCCTCGACATCAGGAGTGGAGGACGATGGCAACTCCAGCCACAAGCGATGATGAAATTCTCGCTTGCAACTTTCATCAGCTAGCTGAGACCATGCCAATGTGGGTTTGAACGGGGTCCTGGGTGTACATCCACCACCGGAGTGGAAGAATGGCAGGCGCATCATACAGATGACAAGTCGATGGTAAGTGGGCAGATCAGCTCCACGGTAGGTCCTGGTGTCTAGGACATGGGCTCGCATCCGCTGGTCCGTCACTATGTAGTCCAGCAGATGTTCTTGCTTGGGCCCGGCATGCATCCATGATGTTGTGTGGATGCACCGATGCAGGAACAGCGTGATGGTAATTACAAGCCCATGGGCTGCACAAAAATCTAACAGCCTCCTACTGTTCTTATTGAGCTGATCTGGCCCATGCCCTCCAACCACTCCAGACCAGGTGCCAGTATCATGACCAACTCGGGCATTGAAGTCACCCAAGAAGATGACTCTATCTCGAGGGGCCACTTTAGCCAGCACCTGTGACAGGAGGTCATACAAGGCATCTGACTCATCGGCCTTGCCTGCATCCCTCCACGCATGTTCGTCTTCGGTTTGGGCAAAAGTAACCACGACCACCACTCCTCGCCTCCGGTTGATGGGAAGGCGAGCCCAAAGTAGCCTGGGGCTTACAGCTTCCCACACCTCACCGCCACGCTCCCACGCCCCCTTCATTATTTTGTTCACAAGAAGAGCCACTCCCTGTTGTTTGGCAGTCTCCTTCCCCGAGTCGAGGACTGTCCACCCGTCATGGTGGCAGGAGCCAGAGACGGTCCACCGGATCTCCTGAATACCACAGAGATCCAGGCGGTACCGGTCCAGCTCCCGACAGAGGAGTGGCAGCCTCTCCTCCGCAGTGAGCGTTCGAACATTCCACGTGGCCACACGAAGTGGCTTTTCGTTGTTTCTGGAGGAGCCCCGAGGGTAGAGATTCAATCTCCTTGCTCCGCCAATTGGGGTTTGGGCAGGAGACGTCATGGATGCCTGTCCCCCCAGGGCCTCCGGCACAAGTTTAATGAGATAGTTTTTTCTTACGTGGTTTAGTGGTAATTTATTTGAAGTGGTTACCAGCCCCTCCTACCCGTCCAGAGCCCCCAATTGGCCGCTGTGGTGGCTACAAACGCCATGAAGGGAATGGCAAATCTCAGTTGACCCTCCCCCCACGACTCTGCCCACCACCTCGTTGCCGCCCGGCACCAACGAGGTGGGGGGTTGTTTTGCCGGGCACACAAAAAGATCCCCCATATAGCCTTAACAGACTGTAGGGGCAAGTGCTGTTAGCAAGCACCTATGAAGCCCGGAACGGTACACGAGGGGGTGGGTGGCCAGCACCACGCCCGACCGCCTTTGTCTCCCTAGTGGCGATGTTTACACACCGCACCAGGTACTCATTTGAGGCTGAGTCAACCTAAGGGAGGCCCGGGACCGGTTCAGATAATCGTCACTGGTGTTGGCCGTGAGCGGGAATCGAACCCGGGTCGCTAGGTTCATAGCGCAGCGTAGCGCTAACCGCTACACTATCGCTCCCCGGGCACACACACATACACACGTACACACACCCACACACACGTACACACACCCACATACACACGTACACACACACTGACACGTACACACACACCCACACGTACACACAACACTCGCACGTACACACACACATCCACACGTACACACACCCACACGTACACACACCCACACGTACACACACTCTCACGTACACACACACCCACACGTACACACACACGTACACACACATACACACACGTACACACACCCACATACACACTGACACGTACACACACAGAAACCATACAAAACCAATTTATTTAAACCCAGAGATAGACACAAACCCAGAGACAAACAAGACAAAGATCCCCCGTGTAGCCTTTAACAGACTTTAGGGGCAAGTGCTGTTAGCGAGCACCTATGAAGGTTACCGGCACTGTGACACACGAGGGGGTGGGTGGCCAGCAGCACCACGCCCGGCCGCCTTTGTCTCCCCAGTGGCGATGTTTACTACACCACCACCGCTACACCAGGTAACTCATTTGAGGCTGGGTCGACCTAGGGGAGGCCCAGGGGACCGGTTCAGATCATCGCTATCACCGGTGTTGGCCGTGATCGGGAATCGAACCCGGATCGCCGGGTTCGTAGCGCTAACCGCTACGAACCCGGATCGCCGGGTTCGTAGCGCTAACCGCTACACTACAAACCCAGAGAGACACAGAGAGACACACATAGAGAGACACAGAGACACACATAGAGAGACACAGAGACAGACACACACAGAGACACACACACAGAGACACACACACAGAGACAAAGATAAAGATCCCCCGTATAGCCTTAACAGGCTGTAGGAGCAAGTGCTGTTAGTGAGCACCTATGAAAGCCGGAACAGTACACGAGGGGGTGGGTGACCAGCATCACGCCCGACCGCCTTTGTCTCCCTAGTGGCAATGTTTTTATCCACCGCACCAGGTACTCATTTGAGGCTGAGTCGACCTAGGGGAGGCCCGGGACCGGTTCAGATCATTGGCACTGGTGTTGGCCGTGAGCGGGAATCGAACCCGGGTCGCCAGGTTCATAGCGCAGCGTAGCGCTAACCGCTATACTACCGCTCCCCTATGTGTGTGTCACACAGAGACACACACAGAGACACACACACAGAGACACACACACAGAGAGACACACAGAGGCACACACACAGAGACACACACAGAGACACACACAGAGACACACACAGAGACACACACAGAGAGACACACACAGAGACACACACACAGAGACACACACAGAGAGACACACACAGAGAGACACACACACAGAGACACACACAGAGACACACACAGAGAGACACACACAGAGACACACACAGAGAGACACACACAGAGACACACACACAGACACACACAGAGACACACACACAGAGACACACACAGAGAGACACACACAGGGCTGTTGTTCCACATCCAGCAGTGGATAGGCCACGGTGATGATATGAATCACAGAGAGAGAGGAAAACGTGGATTCGAGAATACACACAGGACTAGAGACACCACCACCATCATCACCACCATCACCATCATCACCACCACCATCATCACCATCACCACCATCATCACCATCATCATCACCATCACCTCCATCACCATCACCACCATCACCATCACCACCACCATCATCACCACCATCACCATCACCACCATCATCACCACCACCATCGCCATCACCACCATCATCACCATCATCATCACCATCACCACCATTATCACCATCACCTCCATCACCATCACCACCATTATCACCATCACCACCATCACCACCATCACCATCACCACCATCACCACCATCATCACCATCACCACCATCATCACCATCACCTCCATCACCACCACCACATTGCTAATTTCCATCCAGCAGTGGAGAGAGCACAGGGGGTGGGGCGGGCGCCAGCCAGCGGAGACGGAGCGGCCAAGCCGCCTCCTGCCGCAGGGGGTGGTGGTGGATCGTTGTCTAGCAGGACGGAGAAAGGGTGGGGGTGTGTGTGGGTGTGTGTGTGTCTGTGTGTGTGTGTCTGCGTGTGTGTCTGTGTGTGGGTGTGCGTCTGTGTGTGTGAGTGTGTGTGTGTCTGCGTGTGTGTGTGGGTGTGTGTGCGTCTGTGTGTGTGTGTGGGTGTGTGTGTGTGGGTGTGTGTGGATGTGTGTGTGTATGTGTGTGGGTGTGTCTGTGGGTGTGTGGGTGTGTCTGTGTGTGTGTGTGAGTGGGGGTGTGTGTGTGTGTGGGTGTGTGTGGGGGTGTGTGTGCGTCTGTGTGTGTGTGTGGGTGTGTGTGTGTGGGTGTGTGTGTATGTGTGTGGGTGTGTGGGTGTGTCTGTGGGTGTGTGGGTGTGTCTGTGTGTGTGTGTGAGTGGGGGTGTGTCTGTGGGTGTGTGGGGGGCTCATCCATCCAGCAGTGGATTGACCACGGCCGAGGGTGGGCGACTTGAGATGTGGAGGAGCGGTGAGTTGGTTGCCGTGGTAACGAGAGGGGCGTAGTCATGGCGCTGAGGTGCGGTTGGCGTGGCGATCGTTGGGGTGGGGTGGGTGGGGCGTCGTCATGGCGACTGGGCGGGGTTGCCACGGCGACGGTAGGTGGTGTGCAGGTGCTGCTGCAGGGGCGAGGTCTCCGTTGCCATGGAGACCACGTGCTCCAGCTCTCCCTGCGCAGTGAGGCGGAGAATACGCTGGATCTGGGGGGGGCACGGGGGGGGGGGGGCACGGGGGGGGGCACGGGGGGGGGGCACGGGGGGGGGCACGGGGGGGGTGGAATGTGGGTAACGTTGGATTACCCACCCACTCACTCACCCACCTACCCACCCACCTACCCACTCACTCACCCACTCACTCGCTCGCTCACCCACCCACTCGCTCACCCACTCACTCGCTCACCCACCCACTCACGTACCCACTCACTCACCCACTCGCTCACCCACCCACTTGCTCACCCACCCACTCACGTACCCACTCACTCACCCACTCGCTCACCCACCCACTTGCTCACCCACCCACTCACGTACCCACTCACCCACCCACTCGCTCACCCACCCACTCGCTCACCCACCCACTCACGTACCCACTCACTCACCCACTCGCTCACCCACCCACTTGCTCACCCACCCACTCACGTACCCACTCACTCACCCACTCGCACACCCACCCACTCGCTCACCCACCCACTCACCCACGCACTCGCTCGCCCACCCACTCGCTCGCTCACCCACCCACTCGCTCGCTCACCCACCCACTCGCTCACCCACCCTCTCGCTCACCCACCCACTCGCTCACCCACCCACTCGCTCACCCACCCACCCGCTCACCCACCCACCTGGTCACCCACCCACCGACTCACTCACCCACCAACTCGCTCACCCACCCACTCACCTACCCACTCACTCACCCACTCGCTCACCCACCCACTCGCTCACCCACCCTCTCGCTCACCCACCCACTCGCTCACCCACCCACTCGCTCACCCACCCACCCTCTCACCCACCCACCTGGTCACCCACCCACCGACTCACTCACCCACCAACTCGCTCACCCACCCACTCACCTACCCACTCACTCACCCACTCGCTCACCTACCCACTCGCTCACCCACCCGCTCACCCACACACTCGCTCACCCACCCACTCGCTCGCACACCCACCCACTCACTCACCCACCCTCTTGCTCACCCACCCACCCGCTCACCCACCCACCCGCTCACCCACCCACCCGCTCACCCACCAACTCGCTCACCCACCCACTCGCTCACCCACCTACCCACTCACTCACCCACCTACCCACTCACCCACTCACTCACCCACCTACCCACTCACCCACTCACTCACCCACTCGCTCGCCCAACCACTCGCTCACCCACCCACCCGTTCACCCACCTACCCGCTCACCCACCCACTCACCCACCCACCCACCCACTCACCCACCCACCCACTCACTCACCCACCCACTCGCTCAGCCACCCACTCACCCACCCACCCACCCACTCACTCACCCAGCCCACCCACCCACCCACTCACCCACCCACTCGCCCACCCACTCACCCACCCTCTCACTCACCCACCCACTCACCCACCCACCCACCCACTCACCCACCCACCCACTCACCCACCCACCCACCCACTCACCCACCCACTCACCCACCCACCCAGCCTCTCACTCACCCACCCACTCACCCACCCACCCACCCACTCGCTCACCCACTCACCCACCCTCTCACTCACCCACCCTCTCACTCACCCACCCACTCACCCACCCACCCACCCACTCACCCACCCACTCACCCACCCACCCACCCACTCACCCACCCACTCACCCACCCAACCACTCACCCACTCACCCACCCACCCACTCACCAACCCACTCACCAACCCACCCACCCACCCACTCACCCACCCACCCACCCACTCACCCACCCACCCAATCACCCACCCACCCACCACCCACTCACCCACCCACTCACCCGCCCACCCACTCACCCGCCCACCCGCCCACCCACTCACCCGCCCACCCGCCCACCCACCCACCCACTCACCCACCCACCCACTCACCCACCCACTCACCCACCCACTCACCCACCCACTCACTCACCCACCCACCCACTCACCCACCCACCCACCCACCCACCCACTCACCCACTCACCCACCCACCCACTCACCCACCCACCCACTCACCCACCCACTCACCCACCCACCCACCACCCACTCACCCACCCACCACTCACCCACCCACTCACCCGCCCACCCACCCACCCACTCACCTGCCCACTCGCCCCGGCAGCACCGCGTGGGCCACCAGCGGTGACGTTTGTCTGTGTGAGTGGTGAGTACCTGTGTGAGTGAGTGGTGAGTACCTGTATGAGTGAGTGGTGAGTACCTGTGTGAGTGGTGAGTACCTGTGTGAGTGAGTGGTGAGTACCTGTGGTGAGTGAGTGGTGAGTACCTGTGTGAGTGGTGAGTACCTGTGGTGAGTGAGTGGTGAGTACCTGTGGTGAGTGAGTGGTGAGTACCTGTGTGAGTGGTGAGTACATGTCTGTGTGAGTGGTGAGTACCTGTGTGAGTGGTGAGTACCTGTATGAGTGAGTGGTGAGTACATGTCTGTGTGAGTGGTGAGTACCTGCGTGAGTCTGTGGTGAGTACCTGGGTGACGTGAGGCTGTTTGTTAAAGGTCGTTCTCCCGAGCGTGTGAGAGGTCACGGTGAGCGACTCTCCATCCACCTGTCCCTCGCCCACCTCCACCAAACCTGCTCACTCACACACCGCCTTGGTGAGATGTTGACTGCCTCGCCTGGTACGCAGGAGGTCGTGGGTTCGATACCGACCCTGACAACGCTTGCTGCTGTAGATTTGGAGTCTGCGTGTGTCTCTCTCTCTCATCATCAGGGTGGCTAGGAGATGTTGACTACCTCGCCAGGTACGCAGGAGGTCGTGGGTTCGATACCGACCCTGACGATGCCTGCTGCTGTAGATTTGGAGTCTGCGTCTCTCTCTCTCATCATCATCATGGTGGCTAGGAGATGTTGACTACCTCGCCTGGTATGCAGGAGGTCGTGGGTTCGATACCGACCCTGACAACGCTTGCTGCTGTAGATTTGGAGTCTGCGTGTCTCTCATCACCATCATCATCACGGTGGCTAGGAGATGTTGACTACCTCGCCAGGTACGCAGGAGGTCGTGGGTTCGATACCGACCCTGACGATGCCTGCTGCTGTAGATTTGGAGTCTGCGTCTCTCTCTCTCATCATCATCATGGTGGCTAGGAGATGTTGACTACCTCGCCTGGTATGCAGGAGGTCGTGGGTTCGATACCGACCCTGACAACGCTTGCTGCTGTATGTTTGGTTCGGTTGTTGCGCGTTGATGATGGTGACGCAGCTGCCATTGTTTTTGCGGTTGTTGTGCTTGATGTGGTGGTTGTTGTGGTGGTTGTTGTGGTTGTTGTGGTTGTGGTGGTTGTTGTACGGGTGTTCTGTGCGTTGGTGATGGCGATGCGGTTGTTGTCGTGGCGGTTGTTGTTGTGGCGGTTGTTGTTGTGGTTGTTGTTGTACCGGTGTTCTGTGTGTTGATGATGGCGATGCGGTTGTTGTTGTTGTGGTTGTTGTGGTTGTGTTGTACCGGTGTTCTGTGCGTTGATGATGCCGATGTGGTTGTTGTGGTTGTGGTGGTTGTTGTGGTTGTTGTGGTTGTTGTACCGGTGTTCTGTGCGTTGATGATGGCGATGAGGTTGTTGTTGTTGTTGTGGTTGTTGTTGTACCGGTGTTCTGTGCGTTGATGATGGCGATGCGGTTGTTGTTGTTGTGGTTGTTGTTGTTGTGGTTGTACCGGTGTTCTGTGTGTTGATGATGGCAATGCGGTTGTTGTTGTGGTTGTTGTTGTTGTACCGGTGTTCTGTGCGTTGATGATAGCGATGCGGTTGTTGTGGTTGTTGTGGTTGTGTTGTACCGGTGTTTTGTGTGTTGATGATGGCGATGCGGTTGTTGTGGTTGTGGTGGTTGTTGTGGTTGTTGTTGTTGTTGTACCGGTGTTCTGTGCGTTGATGATGGCGATGAGGTTGTTGTTGTTGTTGTAGTTGTTGTGTTGTACCGGTGTTCTGTGCATTGATGATGGCGATGCGGTTGTTGTTGTTGTGGTTGTTGTGGTTGTTGTTGTTGTACCGGTGTTCTGTGTGTTGATGATGGCGATGCGGTTGTTGTTGTTGTGGTTGTTGTTGTTGTGGTTGTACCGGTGTTCTGTGTGTTGATAATGGCGATACGGTTGTTGTTGTTGTTGTACCGGTGTTCTGTGTGTTGATAATGGCGATACGGTTGTTGTTGTTGTGGTTGTTGTTGTTGTACCGGTGTTCTGTGCTTTGATGATGGCGATGCGGTTGTTGTTGTGGTTGTTGTTGTTGTACCGGTGTTCTGTGTGTTGATAATGGCGATACAGTTGTTGTTGTTGTTGTGGTTGTTGTTGTTGTACTGGTGTTCTGTGTGTTGATGTGGCGATGCGGTTGTTGTGGTTGTGGTTGTTGTTGTGGTTGTTGTACCGGTGTTCTGTGTGTTGATGATGGCGATGTGGTTGTTGTTGTTGTTGTTGTACCGGTGTTCTGTGCGTTGATGATGGCGATGAGGTTGTTGTTGTTGTTGTTGTGGTTGTTGTGTTGTACCGGTGTTCTGTGCGTTGATGATGGCGATGCGGTTGTTGTTGTTGTGGTTGTTGTTGTTGTACCGGTGTTCTGTGTGTTGATGATGGCGATGCGGTTGTTGTTGTTGTTGTTGTGGTTGTTGTTGTTGTGGTTGTACCGGTGTTCTGTGTGTTGATAATGGCGATACGGTTGTTGTTGTTGTGGTTGTTGTTGTTGTACCGGTGTTCTGTGCGTTTATGATGGCGATGCGGTTGTTGTTGTGGTTGTTGTTGTTGTACCGGTGTTCTGTGTGTTGATAATGGCGATACAGTTGTTGTTGTTGTTGTGGTTGTTGTTGTTGTACTGGTGTTCTGTGTGTTGATGTGGCGATGCGGTTGTTGTGGTTGTGGTTGTTGTTGTGGTTGTTGTACCGGTGTTCTGTGTGTTGATGATGGCGATGTGGTTGTTGTGGTTGTTGTGTTGTACCGGTGTTCTGTGCGTTGATGATGGCGATGCGGTTGTTGTTGTTGTGGTTGTTGTTGTGGTTGTTGTACCGGTGTTCTGTGTGTTGATGATGGCGATGTGGTTGTTGTGGTTGTTGTGTTGTACTGGTGTTCTGTGCGTTGATGATGGCGATGCGGTTGTTGTTGTTGTGGTTGTTGTTGTGGTTGTTGTACCGGTGTTCTGTGTGTTGATGATGGCGATGTGGTTGTTGTGGTTGTTATGTTGTACCGGTGTTCTGTGCGTTGATGATGGCGATGCGGTTGTTGTTGTTGTGGTTGTTGTTGTGGTTGTTGTACCGGTGTTCTGTGTGTTGATGATGGCGATGTGGTTGTTGTGGTTGTTGTGTTGTACCGGTGTTCTGTGCGTTGATGATGGCGATGCGGTTGTTGTTGTATTGGTTGTGGTTGTTGTACCGGTGTTCTGTGCGTTGATGATGGCGATGCGGTTGTTGTTGTGTGGTTGTGGTTGTTGTACCGGTGTTGTGTGTGTTGATGATGGCGATGCGGTTGTTGTTGTTGTGGTTGTTGTTGTTGTACCGGTGTTCTGTGTGTTGATGATGGCGATGTGGTTGTTGTGGTTGTTGTGTTGTACCGGTGTTCTGTGCGTTGATGATGGCGATGCGGTTGTTGTTGTTGTTGTTGTTGTGGTTGTGGTTGTTGTACCGGTGTTCTGTGCGTTGATGATGGCGATGCGGTTGTTGTTGTTGTGGTTGTGGTTGTTGTACCAGTGTTCTGTGTGTTGATGATGGCGATGCGGTTGTTGTTGGTGTGGTTGTTGTTGTTGTACCGGTGTTCTGTGTGTTGATGATGGCGATGTGGTTGTTGTGGTTGTTGTGTTGTACCGGTGTTCTGTGCGTTGATGATGGCGATGCGGTTGTTGTTGTTGTGGTTGTTGTGGTTGTGTTGTACCGGTGTTCTGTGCGTTGATGATGCCGATGTGGTTGTTGTGGTTGTTGTGGTTGTTGTGGTTGTTGTACCGGTGTTCTGTGCGTTGATGATGGCGATGAGGTTGTTGTTGTTGTTGTGGTTGTTGTTGTACCGGTGTTCTGTGCGTTGATGATGGCGATGCGGTTGTTGTTGTTGTGGTTGTTGTTGTTGTGGTTGTACCGGTGTTCTGTGTGTTGATGATGGCAATGCGGTTGTTGTTGTTGTTGTGGTTGTTGTTGTTGTACCGGTGTTCTGTGCGTTGATGATAGCGATGCGGTTGTTGTGGTTGTTGTGGTTGTGTTGTACCGGTGTTTTGTGTGTTGATGATGGCGATGCGGTTGTTGTGGTTGTGGTGGTTGTTGTGGTTGTTGTTGTTGTACCGGTGTTCTGTGCGTTGATGATGGCGATGAGGTTGTTGTTGTTGTTGTTGTTGTAGTTGTTGTGTTGTACCGGTGTTCTGTGCGTTGATGATGGCGATGCGGTTGTTGTTGTTGTGGTTGTTGTGGTTGTTGTTGTTGTACCGGTGTTCTGTGTGTTGATGATGGCGATGCGGTTGTTGTTGTTGTTGTTGTGGTTGTTGTTGTTGTGGTTGTACCGGTGTTCTGTGTGTTGATAATGGCGATACGGTTGTTGTTGTTGTGGTTGTTGTTGTTGTACCGGTGTTCTGTGCTTTGATGATGGCGATGCGGTTGTTGTTGTGGTTGTTGTTGTTGTACCGGTGTTCTGTGTGTTGATAATGGCGATACAGTTGTTGTTGTTGTTGTGGTTGTTGTTGTTGTACTGGTGTTCTGTGTGTTGATGTGGCGATGCGGTTGTTGTGGTTGTGGTTGTTGTTGTGGTTGTTGTACCGGTGTTCTGTGTGTTGATGATGGCGATGTGGTTGTTGTTGTTGTTGTGGTTGTTGTTGTTGTTGTTGTTGTACCGGTGTTCTGTGCGTTAATGATGGCGATGCGGTTGTTGTTGTTGTTGTGGTTGTTGTTGTTGTGGTTGTACCGGTGTTCTGTGTGTTGATGATGGCGATGCGGTTGTTGTTGTTGTTGTGGTTGTTGTTGTTGTTGTACCGGTGTTCTGTGCGTTGATGATAGCGATGCGGTTGTTGTGGTTGTTGTGGTTGTGTTGTACCGGTGTTTTGTGTGTTGATGATGGCGATGCGGTTGTTGTGGTTGTGGTGGTTGTTGTGGTTGTTGTTGTTGTACCGGTGTTCTGTGCGTTGATGATGGCGATGAGGTTGTTGTTGTTGTGGTTGTTGTGTTGTACCGGTGTTCTGTGCGTTGATGATGGCGATGCGGTTGTTGTTGTTGTGGTTGTTGTGGTTGTTGTTGTTGTACCGGTGTTCTGTGTGTTGATGATGGCGATGCGGTTGTTGTTGTTGTTGTGGTTGTTGTTGTTGTGGTTGTACCGGTGTTCTGTGTGTTGATAATGGCGATACGGTTGTTGTTGTTGTGGTTGTTGTTGTTGTACCGGTGTTCTGTGCGTTGATGATGGCGATGCGGTTGTTGTTGTGGTTGTTGTTGTTGTACCGGTGTTCTGTGTGTTGATAATGGCGATACAGTTGTTGTTGTTGTTGTGGTTGTTGTTGTTGTACTGGTGTTCTGTGTGTTGATGTGGCGATGCGGTTGTTGTGGTTGTGGTTGTTGTTGTGGTTGTTGTACCGGTGTTCTGTGTGTTGATGATGGCGATGTGGTTGTTGTTGTTGTTGTGGTTGTTGTTGTTGTTGTTGTACCGGTGTTCTGTGCGTTAATGATGGCGATGCGGTTGTTGTTGTTGTTGTGGTTGTTGTTGTTGTGGTTGTACCGGTGTTCTGTGTGTTGATGATGGCGATGCGGTTGTTGTTGTTGTTGTGGTTGTTGTTGTTGTTGTACCGGTGTTCTGTGCGTTGATGATAGCGATGCGGTTGTTGTGGTTGTTGTGGTTGTGTTGTACCGGTGTTTTGTGTGTTGATGATGGCGATGCGGTTGTTGTGGTTGTGGTGGTTGTTGTGGTTGTTGTTGTTGTACCGGTGTTCTGTGCGTTGATGATGGCGATGAGGTTGTTGTTGTTGTGGTTGTTGTGTTGTACCGGTGTTCTGTGCGTTGATGATGGCGATGCGGTTGTTGTTGTTGTGGTTGTTGTGGTTGTTGTTGTTGTACCGGTGTTCTGTGTGTTGATGATGGCGATGCGGTTGTTGTTGTTGTTGTGGTTGTTGTTGTTGTGGTTGTACCGGTGTTCTGTGTGTTGATAATGGCGATACGGTTGTTGTTGTTGTGGTTGTTGTTGTTGTACCGGTGTTCTGTGCGTTGATGATGGCGATGCGGTTGTTGTTGTGGTTGTTGTTGTTGTACCGGTGTTCTGTGTGTTGATAATGGCGATACAGTTGTTGTTGTTGTTGTGGTTGTTGTTGTTGTACTGGTGTTCTGTGTGTTGATGTGGCGATGCGGTTGTTGTGGTTGTGGTTGTTGTTGTGGTTGTTGTACCGGTGTTCTGTGTGTTGATGATGGCGATGTGGTTGTTGTGGTTGTTGTGTTGTACCGGTGTTCTGTGCGTTGATGATGGCGATGCGGTTATTGTTGTTGTGGTTGTTGTTGTGGTTGTTGTACCGGTGTTCTGTGTGTTGATGATGGCGATGTGGTTGTTGTGGTTGTTGTGTTGTACCGGTGTTCTGTGCGTTGATGATGGCGATGCGGTTGTTGTTGTTGTGGTTGTTGTTGTGGTTGTTGTACCGGTGTTCTGTGTGTTGATGATGGCGATGTGGTTGTTGTGGTTGTTGTGTTGTACCGGTGTTCTGTGCGTTGATGATGGCGATGCGGTTGTTGTTGTTGTGGTTGTTGTTGTTGTACCAGTGTTCTGTGTGTTGATGATGGCGATGTGGTTGTTGTGGTTGTTGTGTTGTACCGGTGTTCTGTGCGTTGATGATGGCGATGCGGTTGTTGTTGTTGTTGTTGTGGTTGTGGTTGTTGTACCGGTGTTCTGTGCGTTGATGATGGCGATGCGGTTGTTGTTGTTGTGGTTGTGGTTGTTGTACCGGTGTTCTGTGTGTTGATGATGGCGATGCGGTTGTTGTTGGTGTGGTTGTTGTTGTTGTACCGGTGTTCTGTGTGTTGATGATGGCGATGTGGTTGTTGTGGTTGTTGTGTTGTACCGGTGTTCTGTGCGTTGATGATGGCGATGCGGTTGTTGTTGTTGTGGTTGTTGTTGTGGTTGTTGTACCGGTGTTCTGTGTGTTGATGATGGCGATGTGGTTGTTGTGGTTGTTGTTTTGTACCGGTGTTCTGTGCGTTGATGATGGCGATGCGGTTGTTGTTGTTGTGGTTGTTGTACCGGTGTTCTGTGTGTTGATGATGGCGATGTGGTTGTTGTGGTTGTTGTGTTGTACCGGTGTTCTGTGCGTTGATGATGGCGATGCGGTTGTGGTGGTTGTTGGCCTCTGCTGGTGCTGGTTTGAGGAATCCGGTCTCTCTGTGCATAGGACGTCCTGACTCCACGTGGCTCGCATAGAAACTACATCAACATAGAAACTACATCAACATAGAAACTACACCAACATAGAAACTACACCAACATAGAAACTACATCAACATAGAAACTACATCAACATAGAAACTACATCAACATAGAAACTACATCAACATAGAAACTACAACAACATAGAAATTACATCAACATAGAAACTACACCAACATAGAAACTACATCAACATAGAAACTACATCAACATAGAAACTACACCAACATAGAAACTACATCAACATAGAAACTACATCAACATAGAAACTACATCAACATAGAAACTACATCAACATAGAAACTACAACAACATAGAAATTACATCAACATAGAAACTACATCAACATAGAAACTACATCAACATAGAAACTACATCAACGTAGAAACTACACCAACATAGAAACTACATCAACATAGAAACTACATCAACGTAGAAACTACATCAACGTAGAAACTACATCACCATATAAACTACATCAACATAGAAACTACATAACGTAGAAACTACATCAACATAGAAACTACATCAACATAGAAACTACATCAACATAGAAACTACATCAACATAGAAACTACATCAACATAGAAACTACATCAACATAGAAACTACAACAACATAGAAACTACATCAACATAGAAACTACATCAACATAGAAACGACATCAACATAGAAACTACATCAACATAGAAACTACACCAACATAGAAACTACACCAACGTAGAAACTACATCAACGTAGAAACTACACCAACGTAGAAACTACACCAACGTAGAAACTACACCAACATAGAAACTACATCAACATAGAAACTGCATCAACATAGAAACTACATCAACATAGAAACTACATCAACATAGAAACTACATCAACATAGAAACTACATCAACATAGAAACTACACCAACATAGAAACTACATCAACATAGAAACTACATCAACGTATAAACTACATCAACATAGAAACTACACCAACATAGAAACTACATCAACGTAGAAACTACATCAACATAGAAACTACAACAACATAGAAACTACATCAACATAGAAACTACACCAACAAAGAAACTACACCAACGTAGAAACTACATCAACGTAGAAACTACACCAACGTAGAAACTACACCAACATAGAAACTACACCAACAAAGAAACTACATCAACATAGAAACTACATCAACATAGAAACTACATCAACATAGAAACTACATCAACATAGAAACTACATCAACATAGAAACTACATCAACATAGAAACTACACCAACATAGAAACTACATCAACATAGAAACTACATCAACGTAGAAACTACATCAACATAGAAACTACACCAACATAGAAACTACATCAACGTAGAAACTACATCAACATAGAAACTACACCAACATAGAAACTACATCAACATAGAAACTACACCAACATAGAAACTACAACAACATAGAAACTACATCAACATAGAAACTACACCAACATAGAAACTACATCAACATAGAAACTACATCAACATAGAAACTACATCAACATAGAAACTACACCAACATAGAAACTACATCAACGTAGAAACTACATCAACATAGAAACTACACCAACATAGAAACTACATCAACATAGAAACTACACCAACATAGAAACTACAACAACATAGAAACTACATCAACATAGAAATTACACCAACATAGAAACTACATCAACATAGAAACTACATCAACATAGAAACTACATCAACATAGAAACTACATCAACATAGAAACTACACCAACATAGAAACTACAACAACATAGAAACTACATCAACATAGAAACTACATCAACATAGAAACTACACCAACATAGAAACTACATCAACATGGAAACTACATCAACATAGAAACTACATCAACGTAGAAACTACATCAACATAGAAACTACATCAACATAGAAACTACATCAACATAGAAACTACACCAACGTAGAAACTACATCAACATAGAAACTACATCATCATAGAAACTACACCAACATAGAAACTACATCAACGTAGAAACTACATCAACATAGAAACTACATCAACATAGAAACTACATCATCATAGAAACTACACCAACATAGAAACTACACCAACATAGAAACTACATCAACATAGAAACTACATCAACATAGAAACTACAACAACATAGAAACTACATCAACATAGAAACTACATCAACATAGAAACTACACCAACATAGAAACTACATCAACATAGAAACTACACCAACATAGAAACTACATCAACATAGAAACTCCACCAACATAGAAACTACATCCACATAGAAACTACATCAACATAGAAACTACATCAACACAGAAACTACATCAACATAGAAACTACACCAACATAGAAACTACACCAACATAGAAACTACATCAACATAGAAACTACACCAACATAGAAACTACATCAACATAGAAACTACATCAACATAGAAACTACATCAACATAGAAACTACACCAACATAGAAACTACATCAACATAGAAACTACATCATCATAGAAACTACACCAACATAGAAACTACACCAACATAGAAACTACAACAACATAGAAACTACATCAACATAGAAACTACACCAACATAGAAACTACACCAACATAGAAACTACATCAACATAGAAACTACATCAACATAGAAACTACATCAACGTAGAAACTACACCAACATAGAAACTACAACAACATAGAAACTACATCAACATAGAAACTACATCAACATAGAAACTACAACAACATAGAAACTACATCAACATAGAAACTACATCAACATAGAAACTACATCAACATAGAAACTACATCAACATAGAAACTACATCAACATAGAAACTACACCAACATAGAAACTACATCAACATAGAAACTACACCAACATAGAAACTACATCAACATAGAAACTACACCAACATAGAAACTACATCCACATAGAAACTACATCAACATAGAAACTACATCAACACAGAAACTACATCAACACAGAAACTACACCAACATAGAAACTACACCAACATAGAAACTACAACAACATAGAAACTACACCAACATAGAAACTACATCAACATAGAAACTACATCAACATAGAAACTACACCAACATAGAAACTACATCAACGTAGAAACTACATCAACATAGAAACTACAACAACATAGAAACTACATCAACATAGAAACTACACCAACGTAGAAACTACACCAACGTAGAAACTACATCAACGTAGAAACTACATCAACGTAGAAACTACATCAACGTAGAAACTACATCAACGTAGAAACTACATCAACGTAGAAACTACATCAACGTAGAAACTACATCAACATAGAAACTACATCAACATAGAAACTACATCAACGTAGAAACTACATCAACATAGAAACTACATCAACATAGAAACTACATCAACGTAGAAACTACATCAACATAGAAACAACATCAACATAGAAACTACATCAACATAGAAACTACATCAACATAGAAACTACATCAACATAGAAACTACATCAACATAGAAACTACATCAACATAGAAACTACACCAACATCATCAACATTACCATCACCAACATCACCATCAACATCACCACCAACATGACCATCAACATCACCATCACCATCATCACCATCACCACCATCACCACCATCACCATCACCACCATCACCATCACCACCATCACCAACATCACCATCAACATCACCATCAACATCACCATCATCACCATCACCACCATCACCATCACCACCATCACCATCACCAACATCACCATCAACATCACCAACATCACCAACAACATCACCATCACCAACATCACCAACATCACCATCACCAACATCACCAACATCACCATCACCAACATCAACATCACCAACATCACCAACATCACCATCCCCAACATCGCCATCAACATCACCATCAACATCACCATCACCAACATCAACATCACCATCATCAACATCATCATCACCAACATCACCATCAACATCACCATCACCAACATCAACATCACCATCATCAACATCAACATCACCATCACCAACATCACCATCACCAACATCACCATCAACATCACCATCAACATCACCATCACCATCACCAACATCAACATCACCATCATCAACATCACCATCATCAACATCACCATCATCATCACCAACATCACCATCAACATCACCATCACCAACATCACCATCACCAACATCACCATCAACATCACCATCCCCAACATCAACATCACCATCATCATCACCAACATCACCATCAACATCACCATCACCAACATCACCAACAGCAACATCACCAACAGCAACACCATCACCAACATCAACATTGCCAACACCATTAACATCACTTGTTGTGGATGTTGTTGTTGTTGTTGTTGTGGATGTTGTTGTTGTTGTGGTGGTTGTTGTGGTTGTTGTGGTGGTGGTTGTGGTTGTTGTTGTTGTGGTGGTTGTTGTTGTTGTGGTGGTTGTTGTGGTTGTTGTTGTGGTGGCGGTTGTGGTGGCGGTTTTGGTGGGAGTTGTGGTTGTTGTGGTGCTGGTTGTGGTGGTGGTTGTGGTGGTGGTTGTTGTGGTTGTGGTTGTTGTGGTGGTGGTTGTTGTGGTTGTTGTGGTTGTTGTGGTAGTTGTGGTTGTTGTTGTGGTGGTTGTGGTGGTGGTGGTTGTGGTTGTTGTGGTGGTTGTTGTGGATGTTGTTGTTGTTGTGGATGTTGTTGTTGTTGTGGATGTTGTTGTTGTTGTGGATGTTCTTGTTGTTGTGGTGGTGGTTGTGGTTGTTGTGGTTGTTGTTGTTGTGGTTGTTGTTGTGGTGGTGGTTGTTGTGGTAGTTGTGGTGGTGGTTGTGGTTGTTGTTGTGGTGGTGGTTGTTGTGGTTGTTGTGGTAGTTGTGGTGGTGGTTGTTGTTGTGGTGGCGGTTGTTGTTGTGGTAGTTGTGGTGGTGGTTTTGGTTGTTGTTGTGGTGGTTGTTGTGGTTGTTGTGGTGGTGGTTGTTGTGGTGGTTGTGGTTGTTGTGGTGGTGGTTGTGGTTGTTGTGGTGGTGGTTGTGGTTGTTGTGGTGGTGGTTGTGGTTATTGTGGTAGTTGTGGTGGTGGTTATGGTTGTTGTTGTGGTGGTTGTTGTGGTTGTTGTGGTAGTTGTGATGGTGGTTGTTGTTGTGGTGGTTGTTGTTGTGGTGGTTGTTGTGGTTGTTGTGGTAGTTGTGGTGGTGGTTGTTGTTGTGGTGGTGGTTGTTGTTGTGGTGGTGGTTGTTGTGGTTGTTGTGGTAGTTGTGGTGGTGGTTGTTGTTGTGGTGGTTGTTGTTGTGGTGGTTGTGGTTGTGGTTGTTGTGGTGGTTGTTGTTGTGGTGGTTGTTGTGGTAGTTGTGGTGGTGGTTGTTGTTGTGGTGGTTGTTGTTGTGGTGGTGGTTGTGGTAGTTGTGGTTGTTGTGGTGGTTGTTGTTGTGGTTGTTGTGGTTGTTGTGGTGGTTGTTGTTGTGGTGGTTGTTGTGGTTGTTGTGGTGGTTGTTGTGGTTGTTGTGGTGGTGGTTGTTGTGGTGGTCGTTGTGGTTGTTGTGGTGGTGGTTGTGGTGGTGGTTGTGGTGGTTGTGGTGGTTGTTGTGGTTGTGGTTGTCGTGGTAGTTGTGGTGGTGGTTGTGGTTGTTGTGGTGGTTGTGGTGGTGGTTGTTGTGGTTGTTGTTGTGGTTGTTGTGGTGGTTGTTGTGGTGGTGGTAGTGGTTGTTGTGGTGGTTGTGGTTGTTGTGGTTGTTGTGGTGGTGGTTGTGGTTGTTGTGGTGGTTGTTGTGGTGGTTGTTGTGGTTGTGGTGGTTGTTGTGGTTGTGGTGTTGGTTGTGGTTGTTGTTGTTGTGGTTGTGGTGGTTGTCGTGGTAGTTGTGGTGGTTGTGGTTGTTGTGGTGGTTGTTGTAGTTCTTGTGGTTGTTGTGGTAGTTGTGGTGGTGGTTGTGGTTGTGGTGGTTGTTGTGGTGGTTGCGCTAGTCACGTGTACTCCAACAGTGGCTGCCCCGTGTGTGTGAAGGTGGCCGTCTCCCTGAAGCTGAAGGGCGCCACGCCGGGTGGGTAGAGACCCTCGCCGGCGGGCTGAGACTCCCACGCCCCCAGCAGCCACAGCAGTCCACGCAGTGACGCGTGTGGTGGAGGTCCTACACAACAACACAACAACAACACAACAATAACACAACAACAACAACACTACAACAACAATACAACAACAACACAACAACAACACAACAACAACACTACAACAAGACTCCCACGCCCCCAGCAGCCACAGCAGTCCACGCAGTGACGCGTGTGGTGGAGGTCCTACACAACAACAACACAACAACAACACAACAACAACACAACAACAACAACACTACAACAACAATACAACAACAACACAACAACAACACAACAACAACACTACAACAAGACTCCCACGCCCCCAGCAGCCACAGCAGTCCACGCAGTGACGCGTGTGGTGGAGGTCCTACACAACAACAACACAACAACAACACAACAACAACACAACAACAACAACACTACAACAACAATACAACAACAACACAACAACAACACAACAACAACACTACAACAAGACTCCCACGCCCCCAGCAGCCACAGCAGTCCACGCAGTGACGCGTGTGGTGGAGGTCCTACACAACAACAACACAACAACAACACAACAACAACACAACAACAACAACACTACAACAACAATACAACAACAACACAACAACAACACAACAACAACACTACAACAAGACTCCCACGCCCCCAGCAGCCACAGCAGTCCACGCAGTGACGCGTGTGGTGGAGGTCCTACACAACAACAACACAACAACAACACAACAACAACACAACAACAACAACACTACAACAACAATACAACAACACCACAACAACAACACAACAACAACACTACAACAAGACTCCCACGCCCCCAGCAGCCACAGCAGTCCACGCAGTGACGCGTGTGGTGGAGGTCCTACACAACAACAACACAACAACAACACAACAACAACACAACAACAACAACACTACAACAACAATACAACAACAACACAACAACAACACAACAACAACACTACAACAAGACTCCCACGCCCCCAGCAGCCACAGCAGTCCACGCAGTGACGCGTGTGGTGGAGGTCCTACACACAACAACAACAACACAACAACAACACAACAACAACACAACAACACAACAACAACACTACAACAAGACTCCCACGCCCCCAGCAGCCACAGCAGTCCACGCAGTGACGCGTGTGGTGGAGGTCCTACACAACAACAACACAACAACAACAACACTACAACAACACAACAACACAACAACAACACTACAACAAGACTCCCACGCCCCCAGCAGCCACAGCAGTCCACGCAGTGACGCGTGTGGTGGGGGTCCTACACAACAACACAACAACAACAACACTACAACAACACTACAACAACATAACAACAACACAACAACAACAACACTACAACAACAACACTACAACAACATAACAACAACACTACAACAAGACTCCCACGCCCCCAGCAGCCACAGCAGTCCACGCAGTGACGCGTGTGGTGGAGGTCCTACACAACAACAACACAACAACAACACAACAACAACACTACAACAACACTACAACAAGACTCCCACGCCCCCAGCAGCCACAGCAGTCCACGCAGTGACGCGTGTGGTGGAGGTCCTACACAACAACAACACAACAACAACACAACAACAACACAACAACAACAACACTACAACAACAATACAACAACAACACAACAACAACACAACAACAACACTACAACAAGACTCCCACGCCCCCAGCAGCCACAGCAGTCCACGCAGTGACGCGTGTGGTGGAGGTCCTACACACAACAACAACACAACAACAACACAACAACAACAACACTACAACAACAATACAACAACAACACAACAACAACACAACAACAACACTACAACAAGACTCCCACGCCCCCAGCAGCCACAGCAGTCCACGCAGTGACGCGTGTGGTGGAGGTCCTACACAACAACACAACAACAACACAACAACAACACTACAACAACACAACAACACACACACAACAACACTACAACAAGACTCCCACACCCCCAGCAGCCACAGCAGTCCACGCAGTGACGCGTGTGGTGGAGGTCCTACACAACAACACAACAACAACACAACAACAACACTACAACAACACAACAACACACACACAACAACACTACAACAAGACTCCCACACCCCCAGCAGCCACAGCAGTCCACGCAGTGACGCGTGTGGTGGAGGTCCTACACAACAACACAACAACAACACAACAACAACACTACAACAACACAACAACAAGACTCCCACACCCCCAGCAGCCACAGCAGTCCACGCAGTGACGCGTGTGGTGGAGGTCCTACACAACAACACAACAACAACACAACAACAACACTACAACAACACAACAACACACACACAACAACACTACAACAAGACTCCCACACCCCCAGCAGCCACAGAAGTCCACGCAGTGACGCGTGTGGTGGAGGTCCTACACACAACAACAACAACACAACAACAACACAACAACAACAACACAACAACAACACAACAACACAACAACAACACTACAACAAGACTCCCACACCCCCAGCAGCCACAGCAGTCCACGCAGTGACGCGTGTGGTGAAGGTCCTACACAACAACACAACAACAACACAACAACACTACAACAACACAACAACACACACACAACAACACTACAACAAGACTCCCACACCCCCAGCAGCCACAGCAGTCCACGCAGTGACGCGTGTGGTGGAGGTCCTACACAACAACAACACAACAACAACACAACAACAACACTACAACAACACAACAACACACACACAACAACACTACAACAAGACTCCCACACCCCCAGCAGCCACAGAAGTCCACGCAGTGACGCGTGTGGTGGGGGTCCTACACACAACAACAACACAACAACACTACAACAACAACACAACAACAACACACACAACAACACACATCACACAACAACACACAACACACACACACATCACACAACAACACACATAACACACAACAACACACAACAACGCACACAACACACACACAACACACACAACACACACACATCACACAACAACAACACACACACAACACACACAACAACACAACATACTACACACAACAACACACACAACACACACACAACACACACACAACAACGAGCGTCATTCGCCAAGAAGTGACGGCGACGTCGCCACAGCGTTTGTGCCAGGCTAGGTGCACTTTAAGACAAAGGTCCCCCGTGTAGCCTCTACAGACTGCTCGGGCAAGTGCTGTTAGTAGCGAGTAGCAGCAGCTATGAAGGTAGACACAGACAAAGGTCCCCCGTGTAGCCTCTACACACTGCTGGGGCAAGTGCTGTTAGTAGCGAGTAGCAGCACCTATGAAGGTAGACACAAAGGTCCCCCGTGTAGCCTCTACAGACTGTAGGGGCAAGTGCTGTTAGTAGCGAGTAGCAGCAGCTATGAAGGTAGACACAGACAAAGGTCCCCCGTGTAGCCTCTACACACTGCTGGGGCAAGTGCTGTTAGTAGCGAGTAGCAGCACCTATGAAGGTAGACACAGACAAAGGTCCCCCGTGTAGCCTCTACAGACTGCTGGGGCAAGTGCTGTTAGTAGCGAGTAGCAGCAGCAACTATGAAGGTAGACACAGACAAAGGTCCCCCGTGTAGCCTCTACAGACTGCTGGGGCAAGTGCTGTTAGTAGCGAGTAGCAGCAGCACCTATGAAGGTAGACACAGACAAAGGTCCCCCGTGTAGCCTCTACAGACTGCTGGGGCAAGTGCTGTTAGTAGCGAGTAGCAGCACCTATGAAGGTAGACACAGACAAAGGTCCCCCGTTTAGCCTCTACAGACTGCAGGGGCAAGTGCTGTTAGTAGCGAGTAGCAGCACCGGCACTGTGGCACACGATGGGGTGGCCAGCAGCAGCAACCCACGCGCGCCCGGCCGCCTTTGTCTCCCCCAAGCGACAGGTTAGCCCACACACGGAGGTCGTGCCAGGCTAGGTGCACACTCACCTTCGTCACTCTTGGAGGCCATTGGCTTCAGCACTTGATGTGAACCCCGTGACCTCTACACTTTAACAATCGCTGCTGATGCTGAATGAATGAATCTGTGTGTGTGTGTTTGTTTACTCCGTGTGTGTTATTTGTTGTTGTTGTTGTGCTGCTGTTTCACTTGTGGTTGTCTGCCGATGTCACCGTGACCCGAGGCCTCGAGCGAGACTCGTGACGTCACCGCGAGTCGTGGGGGAGGGGCGAGCCTCGTGACGTCACCGCGAGTCGTGGGGGAGGGGCGAGACTCGTGACGTCACAGCGAGTCGTGGGAGGGGCGAGACTGGTGACGTCACCGAGACCCGAGGCCTCGAGCGAGACTCGTGACGTCACCGCGAGTCGTGGGGGAGGGGCGAGACTCGTGACGTCACAGCGAGTCGTGGGGGAGGGCCGAGACTCGTGACGTTACCGCGAGTCGTGGGGGAGGGGCGAGACTCGTGACGTCACCGCGAGTCGTGGGGGAGGGGCGAGACTTGTGACGTCACCGCGAGTCGTGGGGAGGGGGTGGCGAGGCTCGTGACGTCACCGTGAGTCGTAGGGAGGGGGGTGGCGGGCCTCCGTGACGTCACCGCCAGCCCGGGAAGCGAAACTCGTGACGTCACCACGTGTCGGGGGGCAGACTCGTGACCTCACCGCGAGTTGGGGCGAAGGAGACACGTGACGTCACCGCCAGCCGTAACGCGCGCGCTGTTTATATATACTAATGTATATAATGTATATATAATATATACATTATAAAATGTATATATAATGTATATGTATACTGTATATAATGTATATATATAATATATAATGTATATACTATATAATGTATATAATGTATAAGTATAATATATTAAGTTAGTTCGAGTTACTCGCCCACTGTTTATCTCCCTTCTGTGCTCACGTTCGTCGTCTTTGCACCACTCGCTGTCGATGTCGGAACTCCTCCATAGACATTCCTCCTACAACGTCCTCCATAGACATTCCTCCTACAACGTCCTCCATAGACATTCCTCCTACAACGTCCTCCATAGACATTCCTCCTACAACGTCCTCCATAGACATTCCTCCTACAACGTCCTCCATAGACATTCCTCCTACAACGTCCTCCATAGACATTCCTCCTACAACGTCAACAAAGATGCCCATCGAGATTGTTGTTACTACAGCCATTCACGACACCCTACGACTCTTAACATTGCCCCGTAGACTTTCTATAGGAACCGGTTCCCTATCTCTCAACATTGGCCCATAGACTTTCTATGGGAACCGGTTCCCTATCTCTCAACATTGCCCCGTAGACTTTCAATGGGAACCGGTTCCCTATCTCTCAACATTGCCCCGTAGACTTTCTATGGGAACCGGTTCCCTATCTCTCAACATTGCCCCGTAGGCTTTCTATGGGAACCGGTTCCCTATCTCTCAACATTGCCCCGTAGACTTTCTACGGGAACCGGTTCCCTATCTCTCAACATTGCCCCGTAGGCTTTCTATGGGAACCGGTTCCCTATCTCTCAACATTGCCCCATAGACTTTTTATGGGAACCGGTTCCCTATCTCTCAACATTGCCCTGTAGACTTTCTATGGGAACCGGTTCCTTATCTCTCAACATTGCCCCGTAGACCTTCCAAGGGAACCGGTTCCCTATCTCTCAACATTGCCCCGTAGACTTTCTATGGGAACCGGTTCCCTATCTCTCAACATTGCCCCATAGACTTCCTATGGGAACCGGTTCCCTATCTCTCAAAATTGCCCCATCGACTTCCTATGGGAACCGGTTCCCTATCTCTCAACATTGCCCCATAGACTTCCTATGGGAACCGGTTCCCTATCTCTCAACATTGCCCCATAGACTGTCTATGGGAACCGGTTCCCTATCTCTCAACATTGCCCCATAGACTTTCTATGGGAACCGGTTCCCTATCTCTCAACATTGCCCCATAGACTTCCTATGGGAACCGGTTCCCTATCTCTCAACATTGCCCCATAGACTGTCTATGGGAACCGGTTCCCTATCTCTCAACATTCCCCATAGACTTCCTATGGGAACCGGTTCCCTATCTCTCAACATGCCCCATAGACTTTCTATAGGAACCGGTTCCCTATCTCTCAACATTGCCCCATAGACTTTCTATGGGAACCGGTTCCCTATCTCTCAACATTGCCCCATAGACTTCCTATGGGAACCGGTTCCCTATCTCTCAACATTGCACCATAGACTTCCTATGGGAACCGGTTCCCTATCTCTCAACATTGCCCAGGAGACTTTCTATTGGAACCGGTTCCCTATCTCAACATTGCCCCAGAGACTTCCTATGGGAACCGGTTCCCTATCTCTCAACATTGCCCCATAGACTGTCTATGGGAACCGGTTCCCTATCTCTCAACATTGCCCCATAGACTTTCTATAGGAACCGGTTCCCTATCTCTCAACATTGCCCCGTAGACTTTCTATGGGAACCGGTTCCCTATCTCTCAACATTGCCCCATAGACTTCCTATGGGAACCGGTTCCCTATCTCTCAACATTGCCCCATAGACTGTCTATGGGAACCGGTTCCTTATCTCTCAACATTGCCCCATAGACTGTCTATGGGAACCGGTTCCCTATCTCTCAACATTGCCCCATAGACTTTCTATAGGAACCGGTTCTCTATCTCTCAACATTGCCCCGTAGACTTTCTATGGGAACCGGTTCCCTATCTCTCAACATTGCCCCATAGACTTCCTATGGGAACCGGTTCCCTATCTCTCAACATTTCCCCATAGACTGTCTATGGGAACCGGTTCCCTATCTCTCAACATTGCCCCATAGACTTTCTATAGGAACCGGTTCCCTATCTCTCAACATTGCCCCATAGACTTCCTATGGGAACCGGTTCCCTATCTCTCAACATTGCCCCATAGACTGTCTATGGGAACCGGTTCCCTATCTCTCAACATTGCCCCATAGACTTTCTATAGGAACCGGTTCCCTATCTCTCAACATTGCCCCATAGACTTTCTATGGGAACCGGTTCCCTATCTCTCAACATTGCCCCATAGACTGTCTATGGGAACCGGTTCCCTATCTCTCAACATTGCCCCATAGACTTTCTATAGGAACCGGTTCCCTATCTCTCAACATTTCCCCATAGACTTCCTATGGGAACCGGTTCCCTATCTCTCAACATTGCCCCATAGACTGTCTATGGGAACCGGTTCCCTATCTCTCAACATTGCCCCATAGACTTTCTATAGGAACCGGTTCCCTCTCTCTCAACATTGCCCCATAGACTTTCTATGGGAACCGGTTCCCTATCTCTCAACATTGCCCCGTAGGCTTTCTATAGGAACCGGTTCCCTATCTCTCAACATTGCCCCGTAGACTTTGTATGGGAACCGGTTCCCTATCTCTCAACATTGCCCAGTAGACTTTCTATAGGAACCGGTTCTCTATGTCTCAACATTGCCCCGTAGGCTTTCTATGGGAACCGGTTCCCTCTCTCTCAACATTGCCCCGTAGACTTTCTATGGGAACCGCGTGACGGGTCACGCGATCTGCCGTAAAGCGGGACGTGTGTGTGGGGGGGGGGTTGTGGGCGTGTTGAAGTTTTACGACAGTGACGTCAGCGCTTCACGACAGCGGCGATGGAGGCGGGTGAGGCGGCGGTTCTGTTGTTGTTGGTGGTTGTTGTTGTTGTTGGTCGTTGTTGTTGTTGGTGGTGGTGGTGGTTGTTAGTGATGGCTGTACCTAGCCTGGCACGGAGCGGCGGTGGTTTCAACTTTCGCCTCCTGTCCGTTGTTGTCGACTAACTGCGTTGTCGGCCGCGGTTTTTGTTGTTGATGTTGTTGTTGTCTTTGTTGTTGTCTTTGTTGTTGATGTTGTCTTTGTTGTTGATGATGTTGTCTTTGTTGTGGTGTATTCGATTTGCTTTGTTCTCATCATCGATATTTATTATCGCTAACCCGTCACTCACCAGTCACTCACCAGCTCCTCACCACTCACTCACCAGCTCCTCACCAGCATCTCACCGCCTCGCTCACTCACCACACTCACTCACCTCACTCACCACACTCACCACACTCACTCACCACACTCACTCACCCCACTCACCCCACTCACCACATTCACTCACCACACTCACTCACCACACTCACTCACCACACTCACCACACACACCACACACACCACACACACTCACCACACTCACCACACTCACTCACCTCACTCACCACACTCACCACACTCACTCACCACACTCACTCACCCCACTCACTCCACTCACCACACTCACCACATTCACTCACCACACTCACTCACCACACTCACTCACCACACACACCACACACACCACACACACCACACACACTCACCACACTCACCACACTCACCACACTCACTCACCCCACTCACCACACTCACCACATTCACTCACTCACCACACTCACTCACCACACTCACTCACCACACACACCACACACACTCACCACACTCACCACACTCACTCACCACACTCACTCACCACATTCACCACACTCACCACACTCACCACACTCACTCACCTCACTCACCACACTCACTCACCACACTCACTCACCACACTCACTCACCTCACTCACCACACTCACTCACCACACTCACTCACCACACTCACTTACCACACTCACCCCACTCACCACACTCATTCACCACACTCACCTCACTCACTCACCACACTCGCTCACCACACTCACTCACCACACTCACTCACCCCACTCACTCACCTCACTCACCACACTCACCACACTCGCTCACTCACCACACTCACTCACCCCACTCATCACATTCACTCACCACACTCATTCACCACACTCACTCACCACACTCACTCACCACACTCATTCACCACACTCACTCACCACACTCACTCACCACACTCACGACACTCACGACACTCACTCACCACACTCACCACACTCACCACACACACTCACCACACTCACTCACCCTCACCACACTCACTCACCACACTCACTCACCCTCACCACACTCACTCACCACACTCACCACACTCACTCGCCACACTCACCACACTCACCACACACACTCACTCACCACACTCACCACACTCACTCACTCGACTCACTCACCACACTCACTCACCACACTCACCACACTGACCTCACTCACCACACTCACCACACTCACCCACCCCACTCACTCACCCTCACCACACTCACCCTCGCCCACTCACCACACTCACCCCACCCACTCACTCACCAAATGGCCTCACCCACTCACTCACCCTCACCTCATTCACTCACCCACTCACCTCACCCCACCCACTCTCTCACCAAATGGCCTCACCCACTCACTCACCCTCACCTCACCCATTCACTCACCAAATGGCCTCACTCACCCACTCACCTCACCCCACCCACTCACTCACCAAATTACCTCACCCACTCACCTCACCCGCTCACCTCACTCACCCCACCCAATCATTCACCTACTCACTTCACCCCACCCACTCACTCACTCACCTCACCCACTCACCTCACCTCACCCACTCACCCACTCACCTCACCCCACCCACTCACCTCACCCCACCCACTCACTCACCCACTCACCTCACCCCACCCACTCACCTCACCCCACCCACTCACCTCACCCACTCACCTTACCCCACCCACTCACCCACTCACCTCACCCACTCACCTCACCCCACCCACTCACTCACCCACTCACCCACTCACCTCACCCCACCCACTCACCCACTCACTCACCCACTCACCTCACCCCACGCACTCACTCACCCACTCACCTCACCCCACCCACTCACTCACCCACTCACTCACCCACTCACCTCACCCACTCACTCACTCACCCACCCACTCACCTCACCCCACCCACTCACTCACCCAATCACCTCACCCCACCCACTCACCCACCCACTCACTCACCCACTCACCTCACCCACTCACTCACTCACCCACTCACTCACCCACTCACCTCACCCCACCCACTCACTCACCCACTCACCACACCCCACCCACACACCCACTCACTCACCCACTCACTCACCCACTCACCCACTCACCTCACCCCACTCACCCACTCACTCACCCACTCACGCATTCACTCACCCACTCACCTCACCCCACCCACTCACCCACTCACTCACCCACTCACCTCACCCCACCCACTCACTCACCCACTCACCCACTCACCTCACCCCACCCACTCACCCACTCACTCACCCACTCACCTCACCCCACGCACTCACTCACCCACTCACCTCACCCCACCCACTCACTCACCCACTCACTCACCCACTCACCTCACCCACTCACTCACTCACCCACCCACTCACCTCACCCCACCCACTCACTTACCCAATCACCTCACCCCACCCACTCACCCACCCACTCACTCACCCACTCACCTCACCCACTCACTCACTCACCCACTCACTCACCCACTCACCTCACCCCACCCACTCACTCACCCACTCACCTCACCCCACCCACTCACCCACTCACTCACCCACTCACTCACCCACTCACCCACTCACCTCACCCCACTCACCCACTCACTCACCCACTCACGCATTCACTCACCCACTCACCTCACCCCACCCACTCACCCACTCACTCACCCACTCACCTCACCCCACGCACTCACTCACCCACTCACCCACTCACTCACCCACTCACCTCACCCCACCCACTCACCCACTCACTCACCCACTCACCCACCCACTCACCCACTCACTCACCTAACCCCCTCGATTCCCACTCACGGCCACCAAACTCCCGGTTTGATACCGGTCCTGGGCCTCCCCTAGGTCGACTCAGCCTTGAATGAGTTACCTGGTGTAGCGATGGTGTAGTAAACACCACTGGGGGAGACAAAGGCGGCCGGGCGTGGTGTTGGTAGCCCCCCACCCCCTCGTGTGCCACAGTGCCGGTAGCCTTCATAGGTGCTGCTACTCGCTACTAACAGCACTTGCCCCTACAGTCTGTAGAGGCTACACGGGGGATCTTTGTCTGTGTCTACCTTCATAGGTGCTCCTACTCGCTACTAACAGCACTTGCCCCAGCAGTCTGTTGAGGCTACACGGGGGATCTTTGTCTGTGTCTACCTTCATAGGTGCTGCTACTCGCTACTAACAGCACTTGCCCCAGCAGTCTGTTGAGGCTACACGGGGGACCTTTGTCTGTGTCTACCTTCATAGGTGCTGCTACTGCTACTCGCTACTAACAGCACTTGCCCCACCACTCTGTTGAGGCTACACGGGGGACCTTTGTCTGTGTCTACCTTCATAGCTGCTGCTACTCGCTACTAACAGCACTTGCCCCAGCAGTCTGTTGAGGCTACACGGGGGATCTTTGTCTGTGTCTACCTGCATAGCTGCTGCTACTCGCTACTAACAGCACTTGCCCCAGCAGTATGTTGAGGCTACACGGGGGACCTTTGTCTGTGTGTAGCGACGATGACGTATGATGCTCTCCTGCTGCTGGACGTGGAGGACTTTCCCGATTCAGAGGAACCGGTGTGGATCCTGGGTCGTCAGTATAGCACACTCACAGGTACCACCACTACTACTACTACTCACACAGGTACCACCACTACTACTACTACTCACACAGGTACCACTACTACTACTACTCACACAGGTACCACTACTACTACTACTCACACAGGTACCACTACTACTACTACTCACACAGGTACCACTACTACTACTACTCACACAGGTACCACTACTACTACTCACACAGGTACCACCACTACTACTACTCACACAGGTACCACCACTACTACTACTCACACAGGTACCACCACTACTACCACTACTACTACTCACACAGGTACCACTACTACTACTCACACAGGTACCACTACTACTCACACAGGTACCACTACTACTACTACTACTCACACAGGTACCACTACTACTACTACTACTCACACAGGTACCACTACTACTACTCACACAGGTACCACTACTACTACTCACACAGGTACCACCACTACTACTACTACTCACACAGGTACCACCACTACTACCACTACTACTACTCACACAGGTACCACTACTACTACTCACACAGGTACCACTACTACTACTACTCACACAGGTACCACTACTACTACTACTACTCACACAGGTACCACTACTACTACTCACACAGGTACCACTACTACTACTACTCACACAGGTACCACTACTACTACTACTCACACAGGTACCACTACTACTACTCACACAGGTACCACTACTACTACTCACACAGGTACCACTACTACTACTCACAGGTACCACCACTACTACTTACACAGGTACCACTACTACTACTCACACAGGGACCACTACTACTACTCACACAGGTACCACTACTACTACTACTCACACAGGTACCACCACTACTACTACTACTCACACAGGTACCACTACTACTACTCACACAGGTACCACCACTACTACTACTACTCACACAGGTACCACTACTACTAGTACTCACACAGGTACCACCACCACTACTACTACTACTCACACAGGTACCACTACTACTACTACTCACACAGGTACCACTACCACCACTACTACTCACACAGGTACCACTACTACTACTCACACAGGTACCACTACTACTACTCACACAGGTACCACCACCACTACTACTACTACTCACACAGGTACCACTACCACTACTACTCACACAGGTACCACTACTACTCACACAGGTACCACTACTACTACTCACACAGGTACCACCACTACTACCACTACTACTACTCACACAGGTACCACCACTACTACTACTACTACTCACACAGGTACCACCACTACTACCACTACTACTACTCACACAGGTACCACTACTACTACTCACACAGGTACCACTACTACTACTACTCACACAGGTACCACTACTACTACTACTACTCACACAGGTACCACTACTACTACTCACACAGGTACCACTACTACTACTCACACAGGTACCACCACTACTACTACTACTCACACAGGTACCACTACTACTACTCACACAGGTACCACCACTTCTACTAGTACTCACACAGGTACCACTACTACTACTACTCACACAGGTACCACTACTACTCCTACTCACACAGGTACCACCACTACTACTACTACTAACACAGGTACCACTACTACTACTCACACAGGTACCACTACTACTACTACTCACACAGGTACCACCACTACTACTACTACTAACACAGGTACCACCACTACTACTACTACTAGTACTCACACAGGTACCACCACCACTACTACTACTCACACAGGTACCACCACTACTACTACTCACACAGGTACCACCATTACTACTACTCACACAGGTACCACCACTACTACTAGTACTCACACAGGTACCACTACTACTCACACAGGTACCACTACTACTACTACTCACACAGGTACCACTACTACTACTCACACAGGTACCACTACTACTAGTACTCACACAGGTACCACCACTACTACTACTACTCACACAGGTACCACTACTACTAATCACACAGGTACCATACTACTATTACTCACACAGGTACCACTACTACTACTCACACAGGTACCACCACTACTACCACTACTACTACTCACACAGGTACCACTACTACTACTCACACAGGTACCACCACTACTACTACTCACACAGGTTCCACTACTACTACTACTCACACAGGTACCACTACCACCACTACCACTCACACAGGTATCACCACCACTACTACTCACACAGGTACCACTACTACTACTACTCACACAGGTACCACTACCACTACTACTCACACAGGTTACCACTACTACTCACACAGGTACCACTACTACTATTCACACAGGTACCACCACTACTACCCACTACTACTACTCACACAGGTACCACCACTACTACTACTCACACAGGTACCACCACTACTACCACTACTACTACTCACACAGGTACCAACTACTACTACTCACACAGGTACCACTACCACTACTACTACTACTACTCACACAGGTACCACTATTACTACTCACACAGGTACCACCATTACTACTACTACTCACACAGGTACCACCACTACTACTACTACTCACACAGGTACCACTACTACTACTCACACAGGTACCACTACTACTACTCACACAGGTACCACCACTACTACTACTCACACAGGTACCATCACCACTACTACTACTACTCACACAGGTACCACTACTACTACTACTCACACAGGTACCACTACCACTACTACTCACACAGGTACCACTACTACTCACACAGGTACCACTACTACTACTCACACAGGTACCACCACTACTACCACTACTACTACTCACACAGGTACCACCACTACTACTACTCACACAGGTACCACCACTACTACCACTACTACTACTCACACAGGTACCACTACTACTACTCACAACAGGTACCACTACCACTACTACTACTACTACTCACACAGGTACCACTATTACTACTCACACAGGTACCACCATTACTACTACTACTCACACAGGTACCACCACTACTACTACTACTCACACAGGTACCACTACTACTACTCACACAGGTACCACTACTACTATACTCACACAGGTACCACTACTACTACTCACACATGGTACCACTACCACCACTACTACTACTACTCACACAGGTACCACTACTACTACTCACACAGGTACCACCACTACTACTACTCACACAGGTTCCACTACTACTACTACTCACACAGGTACCACTACCACCACTACCAGTACTGCTCACACAGGTATCACCACCACTACTACTCACACAGGTACCACTACTACTACTCACACAGGTACCACTACTACTACTCACACAGGTACCACTACTACTAACTCACACAGGTACCACCACTACTACTACTCACACAGGTACCATCACCACTACTACTACTACTCACACAGGTACACTACTACTACTACTCACACAGGTACCACTACCACTACTACTCACACAGGTACCACTACCACTACTACTCACACAGGTACCACTACTACTCACACAGGTAACACTACTACTACTCACACAGGTACCACCACTACTACCACTACTACTACTCACACAGGTACCACCACTACTACTACTACTACTCCACACAGGTACCACCCACTACTACCACTACTACTACTCACACAGGTACCACTACTACTACTCACACAGGTACCACTACTACTACTACTACTCACACAGGTACCACTACTACTACTACTCACACAGGTACCACTACTACTACTCACACAGGTACCCACTACTACTACTCACACAGGTACCACCACTACTACTACTACTCACACAGGTACCACTACTACTACTCACACAGGTACCACCACTTCTACTAGTACTCACACAGGTACCACTACTACTACTACTCACACAGGTACCACTACTACTACTACTCACACAGGTACCACCACTACTACTACTAACACAGGTACCACTACTACTACTCACACAGGTACCACCACTACTACTACTACTAACACAGGTACCACCACTACTACTACTACTAGTACTCACACAGGTACCACCACCACTACTACTACTACTCACACAGGTACCACCACTACTACTACTCACACAGGTACCACCATTACTACTACTCACACAGGTACCACCACTACTACTAGTACTCACACAGGTAACACTACTACTCACACAGGTACCACTACTACTACTACTCACACAGGTACCACTACTACTACTCACACAGGTACCACTACTACTAGTACTCACACAGGTACCACCACTACTACTACTACTCACACAGGTACCACTACTACTACTCACACAGGTACCACTACTACTATTACTCACACAGGTACCACTACTACTACTCACACAGGTACCACTACCACCACTACTACTACTACTCACACAGGTACCACTACTACTACTCACACAGGTACCACCACTACTACTACTCACACAGGTTCCACTACTACTACTACTCACACAGGTACCACTACCACCACTACCAGTACTGCTCACACAGGTATCACCACCACTACTACTCACACAGGTACCACTACTACTACTCACACAGGTACCACTACTACTACTCACACAGGTACCACTACTACTACTCACACAGGTACCACCACTACTACTACTCACACAGGTACCATCACCACTACTACTACTACTCACACAGGTACCACTACTACTACTACTCACACAGGTACCACTACCACTACTACTCACACAGGTACCACTACTACTCACACAGGTACCACTACTACTATTCACACAGGTACCACCACTACTACCACTACTACTACTCACACAGGTACCACCACTACTACTACTCACACAGGTACCACCACTACTACCACTACTACTACTCACACAGGTACCACTACTACTACTCACACAGGTACCACTACCACTACTACTACTACTACTCACACAGGTACCACTATTACTACTCACACAGGTACCACCATTACTACTACTACTCACACAGGTACCACCACTACTACTACTACTCACACAGGTACCACTACTACTACTCACACAGGTACCACTACTACTAT